ATATAACAAATACGCACACAAAAGAAAAAGCGACAAATACGTGGCCTTGGCGACTGAAGCAACAATTAGCTTCATTACATAAGTGCGTCTGAAAGGCCTGAGGAGTCGCAGTCCTTGAACGCACCACGACCACACAACAGACCGTCTGTGTTTGGCAGTACGCACACACACACACACACACACACACGTGTGTGTCTTGTGCCCATACACCTTTATCAGCTTGCGAGGTGCTAACGCCAAGAACGTTAAGGCACAGATGTTCATGCAATTCACACAAACACACACACTGTACCCCGTGGACGGTTGCCAAGGCAACTGTAAACCAGTGACAAGGGGCTTATTGGTTTCATGAAGTGACTGTTGGCTGCGTGTGTTCTCACAGGGCGCTAATGAAAGGCATTCATCATTCTGGTCCCTCCATCTTTACCGCGGATTTCTGACGACCACACACACACACACACACACACACACAGCTAATCGCTCCCATCGTGGCGCCCACAGCTGTGTGTGTATGTGACATACAACATGGGGGGGCAGGAGATAACATATTAAACATTCCTCCCGTCTCCACCTCCTCCAAAACACCAGAGAACACCCACAATCTGCTAAACACATGCACATGCGTGTGTGTGTGTATATATATATATATATATATGTTTGAGAGCGAGAGAGAAAGAGCTCGGGCTGCCGGAATAAAGAAATGCTAATCTACTCATTGAGTATTCAACAAACCAAATGTTTGCCTTGGGCAGAAAAAGCTCAGCTTAAGGGACTAATTACTACAAGTGCTGGATGTAATGTTGCTCTGTTGAACTGCCTCCTTCCTTCACTAGTCAGACGTGTGCTTTTTTTTTTCTTTTACAGTGAATGTGGAATACATAAACGACTACTGGATCAGAGGCTACTAATTCTCTGATTTTAATCATGGAATCTGAATCGGAATCCATTAATGGCCGTGGATTCTGATCGTTGTTGAAGAATATTTCTTTAAGTGGCGAGCCACATTTGAAATTATTTTACTAGAATTACCACCTCGTGGTTTAAGTCAAGTTGCGGGTTTACATCCTTGTCTGTGCAGATTGTCATCGCTCTATAATGTTATCCAACTAGACATCGGTCACGGTGTTCTTTGACCCCCAAATTATAATCATATCATCCTGAGTGCAAGAGGATGTTTGTACCAAAATTGAAGAAATGTACTCAAGGTGTACCCGAGATGTCACAAGAAAAGGGACCGAGGTGAGGTCACAGAGACCTTTGACCAACCAAAATCTAATCAGTTCATTCTTGAGTCCAGGTGGATGTTTACGTCAAATTTGCCCTCCAGGCGTTCCCTGAGATATCGCGTTCACGAGAATGGACCGGAAGTCTGGAGGTACGGCCCAAAAAAGATAATGCCCCGGGCGAATACTTAACATTTTTGATGCCATAATTTGTGTTAAAATATGAAGCAGTGAAAATCAAATAAGTTTGATATATACGATGTTTATTTAATATTTGACATCTACGTCAAACATATTAACTGTTTCTCACACAGCTCTTAATTTCCTGCTTCACCGCAACATGCTGTATAAATCACATGGAACCATTACAGCCAGTGACTTCATAACATAGTCGACAAAAAAACATTAATAAAAGTATATGTCAAGAAATTAGCATACCTTACTAATCATGACATGTTTGGACTCTGGTTTTGTTTTGGACTTTCCTTCGTAGTGGACTAGGGATGGGTACCCAAACCCGGTATCAAACAGGAACCGGTGCTAAATTATGAACGACTGGACTATTGATAATATCTTATCGGTACTTTTTAACGTTTTGGTGTAACGTATTGACATGATAACTTTGGCAACTACGCTCGTTACTTTACTTGCAATAAAACCTACGTGACTAAACAGCCACTACTTTATCAATACACTTGTTCAACGAGCATAAACACGAACATGTGAACATGTAGAAAAGAGATATTTCAATCATCTCTGTCCGCAGCCTCTCATCCAACACAGTGCGCTGACTCCGCAATTTGCAAAATGAGCTGGAAACAAAAACTGTTTGCATGTAGTTCAGCTTAGTGCCACATATCTGAAAATGATTGGAAACCTCTCTCCTGGCTGAGGCCAAGCAGCCCTCCTCCCTCAAGCAGCGGTACCTGCAGGCAGTGAATCAGCAGGAGGAGGAGGACAGGAAGGAAGGACTGATTCTGACTGATGTTCTTCATTCTTTATAAACTTCACTTGGGAATATGATTAGTTTTTTTGTTTCCCGTGATATATTAATGATTTTATACAGTGACCTCGCTGTTGCTGCTCTAGAAACCATGTTTAGATTTGTTTAAAATATAAATAAATTCTAATCCTGTTCTCAGGGCGACTGTGGCTCAGTGGCAGAGCAGGGTCGTCCTTCAATCAGAGGATCGGCGGTTTGATCCCCGGCTCCGCTAGTCCATGTCGATGTGTCCTTGGACAAGACACTTGACCCCAAATTGCTCCCGCAAGCTGTTCCTTCGGTTTATGAACGGGTGTGAATGTTAGTTAGAGTCCTGATGGGCAGGTGGCACCTTGCATGGTAGCCCGTCATCAGTGTATGAATGATGACATGTAGTGGTGTAGACTAGAAAAGCGCTATACAAGTACAGTCCATTTACCGTTTCAATGAATTTCTTTAAAATAACATATTGAAAAGCAAAAAAGAAGCAATAAGAGTCGACAAAAAACCGAACCAATAAGGAGTATTGATAAGAGTAGTATTACTGATGAAATCCCTTTAGTTGACACAGTTGTGAACTAGAAAGGCAGGTATCATATCTCAGTCTCACTTCATGCTCTTTGATATCAAATATTAGTCCTCAGCTACCGGCAGGAGTGTTACGAATGAAGATGAATGAAGACTTCTGGTGGGGAATGTTGATGCTGGGAGAAGAAATTGTGTCACTCGATGAAGGAATATAACGTTATTTAATTAAAAAATTCTCAGCAAACACATCAGTTTGTAACAGAGAGAGTGAAAGGAAGGACTTACCTTGACCGAGTCTCTGTCTGAAGAAGCGGAGGGCAGGAGACAGAAAAATAAAAACTAATTAAGGCATTTAAAGTTTTAGCGAGAAGCGCAATAATGCATGAGCAACGATAGACACAAGAAGAAAACCAGACAGGTAATGGAAAAGTCACACATGAGCATACATTACGTACACAGAGCAAGAGACAGAGAAGAGTCAGGCTAATGATGTTCCCTGAGGCATCATTAATGCCAGTTCAAGCTAAAAGTACATTAACTCTGACTATTCCTGTTATTCTTGTCTGCAGCATGTTAAGTGAAATGTAATATAGCCAAACGAAGCAGAAATGCACCATTATACTGGCTGGCTATACAGAATTTAGGGTTTGCATAAAGACACACAGACGGCCGACAATCAAATCTGTTCTGATATATATATATATTTTTTTTATTTAAGAGGTTGCAAGATGGTCCCATTTGTTACAGTTTCTTTTTCTTAGCAGAGAAAGAAAGATAACTTCAGGCCCCTTTGGATCAGACAAGAAGAAAAGGAAAAAGTTGCTACGATTTGTGAATTTGTCATTTGACAAAATTACACTAAATTTGGCAAGTGACAAATATCGGAAACGGCATGAATTAGAACAACAGCATTGATAAATACAAATGTAGAAACCTCTCATTCACTATATTCTCAGCTAGAGGAGTGCAGTTAGTGACAGTGTGGGCTCCATGGTAGCTTTGACAGCTTGACAGAGTAGCAGCGGGGGGCGGGGCTTAGCGAAGGGTCACTTGTATTGATATTAATTGTGCTCCTAATGGAGGCAAGTATTCACTGCAGCTACAGGGCAAGGTTAACTGCTCTACTGCACTGTAAAAAAAAATTTTTAAAAACCTTGCAGTCATGCTGCAGCAGAGTAATTAAGAGCTGGCACACACCGTTTCTATCGCACACATACACACGCACACGTACACACAGTTTGTGTGCCGTAATTAAATGCTCGAGCTCAAAGTCAGCTTGCAGAAGAATCAGAGGCGTTCTGCTTGTACAGAGGCAAAAGAGACATCGTGGCTGGTTGTGTATCGCTCCCTATTAGGCCAATTAGAACGGCACAATGACAAATCAGTTTTTAATTGCTTTTACTGCTGTTCATTCAGAGTACTAACAATTAAGCATCAGACAGTGGTATAAATCCATAACTTTGAATTTTTCAGACATGTAAATTAGTTTAGGATCATTAATGGAACAAAAGATAAAAGCTTCAGTATTTATGTCCATTAAAACGCATTCAGTATCTGCACAAGTTTATGCAATTGTTTTTTTAAATGTCGATATGTTACATTTGGGTTGTCTGTATTTTTTTTAAATATCTCGGATACATTTTAGTCAGCTATATGGACTTCATTCATAGACAAAAGTAGAATTACAATTAATATCTGTATTATATAAAAAAGGAAGTAACCAAATAAAAACTTTGACACAAAAAGAAGCAGTGTTGAACGCCAAGACTTACTGCAGGCATAAACAGTACACACACACACACACACACACACACACACACACACACGCACACACACACGCACACACACAGAGCAGGGCAGGCCTTACCTCTCGGGTGTTCACCGCTGTTGTCGTGGTGCTTCCTCTCGTCTTTGTGCGGCAGTTGGTGGTTTAGGGCGGAGGACAGAGCCAGCAGGCTGGCCGTGGTGCCGGCCCCGAGGGGCAGGGGGGGCTGGAGGCCCGCCGGGTGCGGTGTGAGCGGGACGGGGATGGCGTGGCCGTGGGAGAGGTGCTGAGCCTGGAGCTGCTGCTGCTGAACCGCACACAGAAGCGATGGTTAGTGTTAGGCAGCACTTTGCGTGGTAGAAGACATGAGAAGAAGCCGGGACGGAGACAACAGGATTTGGGTATTACTTGTGAACCCAATATTTCAAAGCGTCCTCAAAGAAAAGGACACTTTGAAGTATCTAGATGCGACAAGTGTGTCGGAGGAAAGCACAACTTGCATTAAATCTTTTTAGAAAAAATGTAATTTAAATGTTTATTTCACTATTGAATATAAATGTATATTTCTGATCATGAGGATCCCTTACATTTATTCAAACTTAACACAGGATTTGTTCGACGGGAATATTTTGCAGTCAAAAAAATAAATTCCCAGTGCTCTCTGGGGAACTAACTTGTGACACTAGTGTGTACTCGTCGGTGTAATGGGGTTTAGTAGCCTCAATAAGCCACTTGTTAGAAACCGCCTTTTTAAAAACACGTAAAAAGCTGAAAAATTCACGAGATTTACTGACGTATTTGTCGTCGCAAAACAAAACCTTAAAACCTCCTAAGCTGACCTGATTTCAGGCATCTAAAACAAAAACCCATCCAAAAACTCATTGATTCAGAGAGGAGGGAAGCGGAGGTGCATAAACGCTGACTGGTTTTTGGACTCGTATCTGCAGCGCTCTATATTCACTCGTTACTCGCACAGTGAGAACGGGTTGTAAAAGCTGACCCAGGATTACATCAAAGTCTCGCTGAAGCTGAATAATATTTGGTGAACGAATAAAGTAGAATTATGTCCAAAAAAACCCTCCCTCATCATTCTTGTTGCAACAAAGTGGTACAGTTAGCAGTTAGTTTAGCTCCAGTTCTCATCTTAGAACTCTCTCTCTGTCAAACATGTATCTCTGTTAGATCCGTCTTACAGCATTTTTCTATTACAGCGTGTGCATGCGTGTGTGTGTGTGTGTGTGTGTGTGTGCAATACACCCACTCCTATGATGGCGTTGAGTTCAGCCATGGTGACCTGCTTGGCCCGCTCCACCGCCTGCACCACCTGCTGCTGATGCTGCGAGACAGACAGACAGACAGACAGACAGACAGACAGACAGACAGACAGACAGACAGACAGACAGACAGACAGACAGACAGACAGGGAAGAGCCGAGTGAGCGAGACATCGCAACAGCAACAGACGGAGAAAAAGACTGGCTGTAGTATTCGGACATCTATGACCTCTATGAACTACAACGACACGCATGCGCAGTTCTCTGGTAAAAATGAAGACGGTGTATCGGTCCCTGAGTGCACACGTCCATCATCACCGTAACACTACAGAGCCCGACGTACAATTATGAATCGTCACGCAGCAATGAGCCGATTATAAAACCTGACAAGCCGTTGCACAGCTCATTAAAGCAGCCATAAATGTGCAGTAACAAGAGTGAGCTGAGCGATATCTCACTGTAGATAGTCTCGAACCAGATCCAGATTCAATCCGTCCTCTGAGTTATCACTGCTCTTTATTTGGGAAAACCAGTGCGTTCAGTAAAAAGTGTGCTTGTTAGTCGGTCAAGTGTGACTCTCTCAGGTTAGTTAATTCCGTCTTCGGGGAGCAGAATTTGAAAACCAAACAGATACCAAGATAAACGTCGTAAAAGAGGCCAAACATCCTGATATAAACACCTATGACATCTTCCAGAGATGCCTAGTGTGTGTGCATTTAATAATGTCTGTGCTGGAGATGACGCGCTGGACATTTGACATCCGTCAGTTCCTTCAATCAAAACGCCACAACCATGAATTTCTAAGCCATTCTGTTGATAGAAAAGCTGATAAAAATAAAAAATAAAAAAACTTCACGGGGAGAAAACAGACATATTTGTGGAGAGAAAGAGATAGATCTCCTAGAGAGACAGACAGGCTAAGAGGGCAAAGTCATCCAAAGGGTACAGAGCGAGAGAGACGGATCCAGACGGTGAGGGAGAGCAACCAAGATTCATTTCGGGGAAGCGCAAAACATCAAAGCAGGGCAGAGAAGAAAGGGCTTATCCAGCGTGGAAATGAACCTGACCATCGGGTTCAGCTTCACCTCTGCACGATGAGTCTAACCTGCCTGAACGTGACTCGCACACGTGAAAAGATCCATCAGCCGGGTGGCTTCTAAAGCGATATTATCAATCATCCTTATAATTACAGACGTGGGACAGACACCTTGACTAACAATTTACTTTGACATTTCAGCCAAATCAGATGCTTTTCATTTAATCCCGTTGTCATTAGAGTTTATGTGTTGTACCGTAACATAATACATGATGCAGGAACAAACGTCTAAAACGCTGCTTTGTTAGCTGCTCGGAAGTGTTTGCAATAGCTGAGGGAGACGAGCAGAAATGGAAAACTAGAATTTCCGCCTTGCGGTTGTATGGCTCTGCCAACCCGTCAAGTCACACTTTACATCCATTTCTGACTCACTGCATCATTTCATCCTATTAGACATTTGTGTGAAATTGTTATAACTAGCGTATGAATTCCTGAGTTATGGCCATGAAAGGTGCTTTGTGAGGTCACAGTGACCTTGACCTTTGACGACCATATTCTGATCTGTGCCAAATTTGAAGAAATTCCCTCCAGATCTCATTCACGAAAATCAACTGTGCACGGACGGACGGACGGACAGACGGAGGGACAACCCGAAAACATGTTCTCCCGAGACACCCACTTTTTTTCTAAAGTGGGTGGATCACTGAAGGCTGACACACTTCTACACTGTTGCGAGAGAGAACACGACTTAAATATCAAAACTTCCCCGTGATCATTACAAAAACTGTTGGAAATTCGGTCCGATACTGACTCAAATAGCTTGATCGGGCCATTCTGGTATATCAGAGGATGCCATTATTATGAAAAAAAATCCAGTACATTCATCTATGTATTAATTTATTATATTTCGTTTAAAGTTAAGTTATGAAAGCATTGTGTAGATCAAGCCTGATGTTGCTTTAGAAACTTCCACACAGTGAGGCATACAGCTTATTAATTAAACACGGCTATCGGTACTCGGTATCTCCCAATACCTGAAGTCAAGGCTTTTTACCCTTTTCTTTAAAAAAAAACATGAACATGTGTTTTAATCTGGCAAAATCATGATTTTAGTGAAGAAATATCGGAATATCTGAACCGCAGTAAATGTGTGAGACCCAACCCTATCTACATACGCACTATTATAGAGATACATGATATTGATACGTCGTCTTATTAGCGACAACAATGCTGCTGTCAAAGAAATGCCTAAACCGTGAGAAGGAACATTGGGAAGTGACAGAAATCAAAACAATCAAAACAAAGAGCTCTCTCAAACACGAGCTCGCCACGCAGCCGGTGTGATTTTGACTGCACAATAATAACATGATTTTTGTTGCGCTTCGGCGAACGAGGCTGCATGTTCGGAAAAAACAAAAGCAGTAAAAAGCCGCTTTCTCTCCCTGCCTCCCCTCTCCGCGGGCCTCGGGGCTGTGTAGCAGCACCGCAGTCTAATGCCATTATTCCTAATCCACCCTAAACCCTCCTAATCCATGGCTAATCTGGAGGAGAGCTTTTTGGAGTCCACACTCGCTCCTTCCTGCTGTTCCCACCCCTCAACACACACACACACACACACACACACACACACACGCACAACTCCTCCAGAGAAAGGATTTACTGGCTAAACACACACGCCTAAAGGTTCCATAATAAACATACTGTGTGAAACACACCTCACACACCCACCACTGTACGTGCGCATGTTTCTTTTATGTGCAAGCAGGTGGACACACACACAAAATCATTTTCTCACACACACACTCAGCCGCTGGCTCCTGCATATGTTGCTAGTGGGAGACAATTTATAAATTCAGAGCATATCTGCCTATCCGGAGCAGGGAGGATTAGCCCAGGATAATCTGTGTGTGAGTGTGTGTCCATATCTGTCTGTTTGTCCTCCCAATCCACCACACACTTCTCCATCCTTCTATGGGTCCTATCTGTCTTCAGTTGTTTCTCTCTCTCTCTCCCTCCCTTACCCACCACCGTCTTAACTCTTTTTTTTTTTTTTAGTCTTACCTCCTGAGAGAGGAAAGGGATGACTTGGGCGCAGATCGCGTTCAGCCGCTTGACGATCTCCGCCTGCAAAACAGAGAGGTGGGCGCAGACAACACAATCATCTTTCAAAATTCACAGAAAGGGCTGAGGAGGCGGCGGCGTCCTCCTCAGATGACCTAAAAAAGAATATGCTCACATCAAGACAAGTGCAATGCGTGTTAAATTCAAGTAACGGCCCGCGTGTGGAACATTAGTCATTTGATGCATTCTCAGTTGTTGAGCGCTGTCTGGTGGGTCTATTTTAAAATCTATTTTAAACACTTTTAGATCACACCCCCGGTCATATTGTGAACCTATTTAACAATACATGCAAAAAACAAAATGTAAAACAAAGTATGACATGTGCACATGTAAGCTAATACGGCCCAGTTTCAACAAATAATATCATGACATCCATCCACCAATCGTCAATCATCCATCCATCAATCATCCATTCTGCAACTTTTAGTGGCAGGGGAAGTGCAGTTAATTCACACATCAATTCATTTTTTTTCTTATCTGTTGTTTTTGTCAAGAGTACTTCGCGCACACTGAGCGGGAATATTTGAGGCGAAAAAGCCATGTAGCATCATGTTGATGTAGATGATGTTGGCATAAACCAATCACGTTGTGCAGCACGGACACATTCGAGACGTACACTGCATTGTACAACAACAGGGAGGCTCGACAGTCTGCTGCAACCAGATCCTCTCCTTCCATTCTTACCTTTCACAATAAAAGCCTTCGACAAAAATGATCTCTCCCCGTTGACTACTGTACCAATTTTCTTTTTCTAAAATAAGGTCCCACGGTGGTCCACCAGAAAGGGCGGAATTTCGCCTCTCTATATTTTGGAATACTCGCATTACAGAAGCTAAATGCGCTCTAACTAACATTTCACTGGGAATTTTTTGGGAGGTATTTTGATGAAAAAAGACGAACTGATAGCATGAGCAGCAATGGCCATGAAAAGAGCAAAACCGCCAGAAACTAAAACTTCATCTGCAGAGGAATGCAAGATAAAAGACATCAAAGTGCCACCCACACTGTGCGTTTCTAAAGATGATCTCTGGAAAGTGCAGTCGGTGCCCAGGCGGCACGGTAATGAGCGCTTCGGCACCAATGTCACCAAAACAGAAGGAACAAACATCACAGGGAGAGTGAGTGAAACTCTGAAACTTTATCATTGAGTGTTAAAAGTAAAGCAGATTGTCAACCGAGAGGTCTGACTAAAGAGAAATTATTTAAACTTGGGTGGTTACGTGTCAACCAGGGAGTGAGTTGGTCACACTTTATGACCTGTATAACCTTTGCAGGTTGAAGGCACTGCTAAAACAATTAGAGACAGAAACTAATCAACTATTCATTCAACATTTCCTTTGACAATCGATTAATTTTAAATGATTATTAGTCAAACAAGTATTATCTGATTTCTCAGTCAGATGGAAGGATTTGCTGACATAATAAGCAATCCTTAAGACACTTGTGCTCTGACAAATTGTGACAAATTGTGACTGGCATTTTTCAGAGATTTTAAAGATTAATTAATATGATTGCATTAATAATCAATTACAAGCAGAAGTGATTTTGTTAACTTATTTTAAAAAAATGCATTCCTCTTCTTTGTCAAAACCAGGCGGCAACCTCCGGTTCTGCCGAGTGAAGCCAATGCAGAAGTGTCTTTAAACGTGCATTCTCTCTACTGACCAGCAGGGGTTGACTCCTCTGGTTTCAAAAAGAAGTCAGATTGTATAGAAGTCTATGAGAAAATGACTATTTCTCTCTTGATTTATTACCTCAGTAAACATTGTAAACAAGAGTTTATGGTCTCAATCTCTAGTTTCAAGTCTTCTTCAATACAGCATGATGTTCATTTAGTAAATTATGGATCATTTAGAGTCAAATAGACCATAAAGCAGAGTATGCTTTAGGTTGGGCTTACTGTGATTGACAGGTCACTGCTGCTACCAGCCGTATACGATGTCTCTACGTCACTCCACCACATTCCAAATATGGTAACTTTCGTTCATTGGTTGCGAAAAACCACATGGCGACGGCCATATTCCAAGATGGCGAGGGTAAAATCTTCGAACTTGAGGCTTCAAAACAACAGTCCACAAACCAATGGGTGATGTCACGATGACTACGTCCACTTCTTATATACAGTCTATGGTCAAAACCTGGCACCTACATTACTCACAGTGCAAGCTGATCGCTGACAGCAGTGTGTTATGCTAGTAGCGGGTAATGTAGCCCCGCGCTGCTAGCCTCAAGCGGAGATCAGCAGCGACCTTGTCATCTCCTTTTCTAACTCCACAGCCCCAGAAGTCTTTAAACCCAACCGACACTGACTCAAGTGACATCACTTGAGGACATTTATCAGACTTTCAATAAAATCTTTTTATTTAGCAAATGGAGCACAAAAAAACACTATAATGACACAATTTGTGCCTTTTTAAAACTATTTGAGAGACATTTTGCTATCAAGTTATTGCTAACTTCTTGAAAGTTTCCCCTCTACTGTATATCTTACTTTCCACTATCCATATTTCCACTCAAACTCAAATATCAGTATCAGTCTCAGAAATCGGGGCTATGCTGCTTATCCTTCAGTATCTTTGGGAAGATTTTCTACAGCTGCACTCTCTGAACCTCAATCAACATCTGCCTAATGGGTGATTTGTAAATAAAAACCCAGGACTTTGTCCCCTTGAGAATTTGGAGGAATTTGGAGGCGAGGGCAGTGCACTTGAGCAGAGAGCTCAAGGAAAATGTGACATTTTTTGTCATTTTAAATCAGCTTAATTAAGAGATAACTGCTGAAAAAGCCATCACGGGATGAGATAATTCCTCCAAGTCCAACGTGATTTCAGAAGACGCAACATGTCAAGGGCTAGTTTCATGTATATAACCTTGACAGAGGTGAACTTTGCTCAGGTATCAGTAGAAACAGGAGCCCCCCCCGGAGGCCACGAGAGCAAACCTGCAGACACCCACACCGATACAAACCCATCACAGTCTGCACGAGCAAGGCAGGATGGCACACATAAACACAGCCGTTCACGCACACGCAGTTACACACCTCCACAGCCTTCTCTGTATTCATCAGATGGTTTCACGGAACCCAAGGGTTGGCTTTTAAAGATTATACAGCACTCTCTCTCCACATCAGGTATGATTTTTTTTACAGGAAATTGCCTGATCCACTGTCCCAAAGGGAGTGATAGTAGTGCAACTCCAATCCAAACACAAACACAGAAAAAAAAGACAGACTTGCACAAAACCACACACTAAATGGCACACGGGGATACACTCTTTGTTTTGTAAGACTAAATATGTACAACTATATAACAGATCCTTCCTTGAGATAAGGCCACCTGCAAGCACAATAGTCAGAGAACTCTCCTGCGCTACCAATTTTACAAATAATTTGACTTACAAAAACTTACAGCAGTATTTTCTTTGCTAGTAAAAACTTGACAACTGAAAAACTATCAGCAAAGCAAAAAAAATAGGATGCAAACAGCACTGCAACTACTGCTAGCGACAGGATGGCAGTCCGAACAAACAAATCCAAGACAGGTGAGCTGGTCAGGAACAGCCATACTTATGGAAAAGCCATAAGCATCATTGACAATCTTACAGGGAATGAGTGGAAATTGGCAAGTTATATACTGCAGAGCTGATGAGGCAAAGTGGAGACAGGTGAGGAGGCGGGTGGGAAGGGTGTTATTATTGTGGGGCAAGAGGGAGTGGCTGGAAGTGGAGGTCAGGTGACTGGGACAGGAAACGGGTAGAGAAATGGTAATGAAGGGGCCAGAGGAAATGTGAATGAAGCTTAAAGGAAGCAGAGGCACAATAGGAAAGAAGAAACATCTGAGGTAGACACTGCAACACCATAACAAGAGATACTAGAAAGGTGTACTCAGTAAAGTGCAGATCTCCACCAGGTGTGTCTGCAACAACCACTGTTGTATGGTGGGCAAAATTGTCTGACTGAATGGATACAACCCACAATTGGCTAACACCCCATCTAGACACACTCCATTCAAACTCAAAAACAAGCGGGGATGTATGCAGACGTCATATAGGACATATTAAATTAACCAAGCGTCTGCCTCAGCGGCAGCGATGTACTCAGCAGTGTGCGTACTGGTAGTTCCGTTAACTATTAGCAGTTAGCCAAACACAATGTTCTCTGCAAGAATATGAAGCAGCAGATATGGGCCGTTTCTACTGGAACTAAAGACTGCATTGAGTGGATTGTCGAGAGGAAATCTCCAAGCCTTGACGGGATCACACTCAGTATTTCTGCTCCTTGGGGACCTCCTTTGGCCAGCATTCCATTAAGCTCCATCAATTTTCTGTCGATCGACTAATCGATCAATCATTTGTGGGAGTACACTGGAGATCTACAAGACACCAGCTTTCAGATAGAACATTTTGCCTAAAGTTAAGAGGTCCTGTCTTTACAATAAATGCAAAACAAATATTACTTTTACAAAGCACTTCCTGCTGAAGTTTATTAATTTATTCTTATAATGATACTTTGGACGCGCTCAGTGTTACGGATCAGCAGAAAATTGACTTTTACATGTTTGATTTTTTTATCTTTGCAGAGACAAAAGATCTGTGCTCTGCCAGAAAAAAGAAGCAGCACTAACTCAGGTGAAGGTATTGTCAGTTAATTGTAGATTAGTGAGAAAATGCTGTCATGTTGTCCTCAGCCACACAGCAGACGAACAGAAAAACCAAACATAAGAGCAGAAGCATGACTTCAAGCTGAGCTTCATTCCCTCTGCAGACATACGCAGACATTCCCAGAGGTTTGAGGGGTAACGCACTAAAGACGTTCCAGCGAGTGCATTGATTCAGTCAATGTTCAAGCTTCATGATTCGACTATTCGTCATCCAAGTGCCTTAATTTGTTTCTGATGAAGTGTTTTTATTGTTGAGCTTTTTTAACATCCGAGACAAAAAAATTGTACATCTTAATAATGTATTTTGGAAGAACCAGGATGCGTGAGCACCAGCTATCAGTGGGG